GATTCATAAGGCGGCCACTTGTAAAAAAAAATGATGCTGTCTGCGGAAAGGTATACTTCTTAATGCAATACCACATGCCAAGGATCCTGGGATACTTACCGTACAAGAACACTTGCTTGAACTCTGAACTCTTGAGATCTCAAGCACAGCGACAATAGAAGCAATCTAGATGTGTGATTTAACACATTTAAATAACAAGGTGAATTTGTCTCCCCAGCGCTGTGTGATGTGACAAATCAGAGGTTCGGATCAGTTCAACTATGCCGTCACATTTGGAAATTTGCCTTACAGGTACAGGATGGAAATCAGAAGAAAATGACAGTAAAGTTGTCCTTCCTTTCACATATCCTCCATTATTTCAAAAGGGCTGTTCACATATTTGATCCTTTGAGCTTTATCATTTCTGCTCTCTCCGCTGGCTGTTTACCACACAGTAAAACAAAGCTCCCAAGAGGCTTAAAACAAGCTCCTTTCCTGCTTCTATCATTTCATGATATACAGTAGCCATCTGTTTCGAGAACTTGCAACCACTTCTACAGCGTGATCAATTGTTTAGTTAAAACCGACAGCATCAAAACAGTTTGGAAAAACAAATGTCCTTCGTCAGTGGTCCAGAATCGAGCAGAGACCTGCTTTATGGACATCCTGCCATCGATTCTTGTTTTTTCCTGCTCTCAGCACTGTCACTCTACACCGTTGGGGGGCTGCGTATGTGAAATGTACAACATCTTGCCCGATCAGGCCTTCCCAACAAGCAAATACTGCAAACTTAGTGTTACATCAGCCCTTCAGTCACAGTGCAACTGCTTTTCTCTTCATCTATTCTTTTTTATTAGAGCGCAGAGACACACACTCCGCTGTGTTAGACCCAAGGCTGTCAGACAGACACGTGCCTTGATAGGATCCGCATAATTCAACACATTCATCCGTCTTTTGTTAACAAAGTACTTTGTGGTGCAGAGATCAACAGTGAAGAGCTGTGATGTGTACTTTTGTCTGGTTTTACCAAATCAGCCTCAACTTAGATAGTGTTGAATACAAAAAACCTTTTAACAAGAAAACTAAACCCCAATTAGGCTTTAGGAAAATGCTGTTTGTAAAATGCTGTTGAAACATATCCAGTTTTCTACATTGCAGTTTTTATACCATTGCGAAATATACCTAAAATACAAACTAGTGATTTTCCAAACTGATCCGGACTGATCTCATTTTTGTTAGCTTAAAAAATAAAGGCAGAAACGTTTTGGCCCCATGGTTGGCAGAATATTCATCACAACTGCAATGAAGCCATTATCTCTCCTTGTTTATTAGCAAGGAGCAGTGGACTGTACTTTCTTTAATCCCAAACAATTCACCAGCTCTTCTCTCTAGCTGATCCCCTCAGTTTTCAGGATGGCTTTCATTAAGTTTACATCAATAACTGATGGGTTGTAGTTTTGAATCAGAGCCTTCAATATTCGGATTGATACGCTTGTGGAAAAAAAGGAGGATAAGGCAAATTTAAAAGGAAAAGTATTTAGGGAAATATTGAAAAGGTATACCATTTTTTTAAATGCAATTCTCGGGACATTGCTCGTAACAAGGCTGCCAAAAAACACTGTGATTAAGGTAATTTAGCATTGTTTTTAAATATATTTCAGTACATTTTATCCAATATTTTGCTGAGTTACAGTACAAAGTTGTAATACATTGATGCGGTAATGCCTTTACATTGTTGGTAGGGCTGCTCAATTAATCGTATTTTAATCGCAATTACGATTATGGCTTGCAACGATTACGAAAACAACGTAATCGAAATAAAACGATTATTCTTTTATTATTATTATTATTATTTATTTGTATTGTTTTTTCAGTTGAATTATACTTAAAGTTCAGGGTAATCAACTGTTAAAAACATACTGTTCACATTTTTTTTCTCCAATAAATTGATGTTTTCAAAGTAAATGGATAATCGTTTTTAATAATCGGGATATCAATTATTGACCCAAATAATTGAGATTATGATTTTTGCCATAATCGAGCAGCCCTAATTGTTGGCCACAATGATTCTAGAATGTACATTTGGTACACATACACACATTCCTATATACTATATGCCTGAAAATGTGAATATAAATTATCTAGAGAGTAATCCCAGGAGAAGAATTGAAAGAGAAGGAGAGAAGAAAGCATAGGTGCAAAAAGAGAGCTTTAACATAAAGCAGGAAAGAAAGAAGGGTAACAGTTCACACAGTCAGACAGATGCCTGCGTCTGGCTCCTCTGCCTTGGAAACATAAATCAGAGCAGTCTAGTTAGGATTTATCACACAGACTGAGATGATCGCACAGGAGGACGCTGAGGAGGAGCTGCTTGAAGATGAACCATGAGTGGAAGTACAGGAAAATGCTCCGTTCATTGAACTCTCTCAAACTTTAAAAAATGTGCAAAGCATGTGTAATGTAAATAGGACTTTCCCACGAAACAATGATTAGAATTGTTCCATGGTAAGATAACTAAAACTACATCCCTAATTATAAAAGTACTAATCTAAGATTTCAGTCCTTTTACTGCAGTCCCTTCTATGCGACTGTTTTTAAATCCGTGCAGTAACTGATGGATGACGCGGCCGCTAATGAGAGCTGGATATGTCCAAATGTAACTGTCTTCCTAACGATAAGTAATGACGGTAGCTTAGCTAACACAATTAACACGGGCGCAGAGCAAAATAAAATTCCCCCAGTATGAGGTATTATGTAAATTATTAATTACCACATAGACTATTACGATCTTGTTCAAATGCCCATTGGCAAAAAAATAAATGTAAGTGATTTGGAAAATGTAGCAAGGAAAATATAGTGAGAATGTGAGAATAATTCAACAAAAATCACCTGCTCCTTAAGCGCTTTATAGAAAACATTTGCATTCAACAACTTCACACAGGCTGACTCGCAATAAATGAAACTACAAACAATGAGAGTAAACATTAAAATAATTTTGCATTTGTTCTTGTCAGTGAAATGTCACCACTATACCATTTCCATAAATCTTGGGTACGCAGTAAGATTGTAATACATGTTTCAATTCAGATGCAATTTTATAAAAAGGACAGGATGTCTCTCTCACAATTTCATACATTAAAAATATAATATCAGAACCACTGTATAGCAATCTGTATTTCATTTGAATTTCAATCACACAAGTTCCGCACAATCTCATTCCACATTCAATGAGGGATGCATGTTTTATGAGCGGCAGTTTTCACAAATGCAGTTACACTTGTGTGAGTTTGGGTGATTCTGCATATAAATGTGTGTGAGAAGGAGAGGCAGAGAATGAGTAATGAACAGATAAAGAGCCGGCAAGGGCTAAAGACAAAAGACAGAGAGTGTGATGAGTGTGTGATGAGTGTGTGATGAGTGTCTGATGTATCCAGGAAGAGAAGTAGATCGGACAGAGAAAGTGATCGGCTTAATGACACAGGATCCACATGGCAGAGAGAAGCTCTGTGTGTGATATGATGAATCAAAACACTGAAAACCTCAAGCCTCTCCACTCACAGCCGACACACACACACAAACAGTCATAAAAAAACTCTGAGATTAACTGCTCAGATTCTCTGTTTACAAGGTAACTGAATTGGTGGTTTTCTCTCTGCCCGTGTTCCACTACTTCTCTGCCTTTTTCCGTCAGTCTGTGGCTCTCAGGATATAATCACCACAGCTTCCAATACGCTGTCAATACGCAGCACTGAAACCCCCCCAACCTGTTCCCCTGCTGCGACCATGAACAATACGTCTGGCTGACTTTGACAAATTAAACCAACTCGATATATGGAAATAACCTTCACGGGATGACATGGAGGGGGAAAAAGGGAAGCGGGGGGGGGGGGGGGGGGGGGGTGGTTATGGGAAAGGGAGAGGAACAGAAACTGAGAGAGGGATGGAGACACTCACAGATGGATGATAGGATATATCGAGCCTCTGAATTCTAATGGTACAGCATGGGAATACATGGAAATGGCGCACATATAGACCGCTTTCTAAATGTCACCATAAATAATAATTAGTCACTACAGCAACCAAAACACACATAGTCTGAGCTGGAAAAGCAGGTAATGGGATTTAATAATTGTCCACATGCATTTTGGGTTGTTTTTTTAACTGGGCAACAATGCAAACAAAAGGTAGAGTCCTGTATTCATTTAGAAGATAGCAACTGATGGGAGAACACACTTTATCATTTCCCATGCGTATGTTGATCCATTAAATTGGGAAAACCTATACAATAATATTAACGGTCAACTCAGACTTACTGTATGAAAGTACAACCCTGTCATCGTACATGAGTTTGAATGTACAATATGTTTACCAAATAGTAAAAAAATGACACAATTACAATTTTCTTTACCTTTCACAATCAAACTATATTCTTTTTAAATAAGTTGAACTGTCCTGCTTCTCGAAGGATGCCAAGTGTTTATCCCAAACTTAACAGTAACATTCCCAGAAGAAGGAAAAAGTGTATGTAGATGAATAGCCTTTCGTGATAATTTGTCATGCAACTACTTCCAACTAATCAGTTTTAAAGCACGCTTTTGTCACGACTATTAATTGCCCAAGTAATTCGAATTCAGACACATTTCACCCGTGACAATCAAAAAATCCTCACTCACACGCACTTTAACTACAAAAGCATCCACACATAGTGCAAATAAACACACAACCCAGCGGGAAGAGGTCGTTAAGCAGCTATTGTTGTGTTGCTCTCTGCTCAGCATGATAACAGTTTGATTGATACTGAGGTTCCCCAGCTAATCACCTGGCTACCACTTTAAATGCGCACCGTCTTGCAACTGATGCCACAACTGAAACACCAAAAAAGACACTCAGCACTAACACAAAGGCAAATAAACATACAACAGTGAAGATACAGGACTACGCACATACATACAATCTCGTCAGAAGCTGAAAGCAACTGCCCAACATTCGTCTCCGTTCCTCACAAGAACAAGTTAACTCACCTGCTCCGAGTGACCAGCTGAAAGCTTTCAAATTGGCCTTGGGTAGTCTTCCTCCCTCTCGGTCTCTTCACTCTCTCTGTCCCTTTGGCACCCCTCTCTCTCTCTCTCTCTCACTGTGTGGCAGTACACGGACGTCCTACGGGCCACTCACCCTTCCTGTGTGGCTTGGCGTGAGTGCATCGATCTCTCGGCCAAGTGGTACCTTGTCCTGCTGTTTCCACGAGACTCAGATGTGCTCTCTCCTCTCCGCTCACTCTGCCTCGCACAGCTGCAGAGGGAAATATGAGGACGGGCAACGTGGTTGAGTGCTGCTCCACTCTCCCTCTCTCTCCTCTCTCTCTTTAGTGAGCTGGGATGCTCTCTCTCTCTCTCTGTGAGGTTGTCAGCTGGTACGATGCTCACTCCTACTATCTCTTCACTGCCACTCTGTCTTGCTGTACTCAACTGCATGCTATCTCACCATCTCTTTTTTGCTGTTCCTCCATTGATTGTTCTGTCTTTTCTCTTTCTCTCTCTCTCCTTATTGATCTATGTATTTGTGTCTTTGCTTGTGCAGCCTCTAGTGGCTGCTTTCTCTTCATGCTGCTCACAGAGTCTATAACACATTTTACTCACAGAGAACATGAAGCTGGGATGACAATTTGCTCCAGGATCTTAGGTGGCACCACCATCTAAAAAAATAAAACAGATAGAAAAGAATCATTAGCATATAAACATGGGACAAGAACTGCATATTGATTGTTTTCAGTATGAATGTTTTACGATTAATAGATTAACATAGGGTGACGTCTTAAAGTAGGTTAAGCCAAAATCACAAAATATTTTTGCATTTTTCCCTGATTAGTTGCAAAGTGTTCTTATTGTTTATCAAATCAGTGTTTGTTTTATGTATTGATAAGTTAATAAACAGGAAATTATTCAGAAAATAACTTTTTGTTCAAGCAAAAATGAAAAATATTTTCTTCATAATTATCTTAATATCTTTTCTTTTAACTGTTGGCTAGATAAAAGAAGACATTGAAGATGTAAACATTGACTGTATGTGAAAACCACATGTTCGGACATTTTATAGACAAACAAATTGTTTATTTGAGAAAGTATGCAGCCCTATAAGTGAATGGTTTAATTTGCATTTGAATAATTTGTAATCTTGCTTGACACTCAGCTATTGAAAACTTTATTTGAAAAGTAAGCATGTAAACCTAATTACAAAAAATGTGATTATATTAAGATGATGGATGAAGAAGACTAAATAAATACAAAACGTTTTCAGTGATGGAGTTAACAGTTGGTTTAACTTGGATAAGTATGAAACAAGCAGTAGTCACAGGGTGTTTCTCAATCGCGAGTAAAGCTGCTTCAGAGCCACTATTTCAAGCATACTACGTCATCGAGTGCCGCCGAAGTACTGTTCCAATCTCCAGTATACTTGGAAATCTACCGAGCCCGGCGTACTCCGTTTGGAGAAATATCGAGTGTGCACATGAGTAGACTTCGCGATCTTAAAATCCCCACAATGCTTTGCGCACGGACCAATTTCCCCAAATCTGTGGCGGAAGATGTAAGGCGGGGCCTCTCATATGACGCACACCTGCACACTTGCTAGCGTGTTCCTCTCTTTGTTTTCCGAATGTCAGGAAGTATTCTTGACTCGCTTCTGAAGCAAGATGCTCGGCAGACATGTGCTACCAAGCAAGCGTACTCGCGATTGAGAAACACCCACTGTCAGATAGCCATGTGCTTATGTTGACATGTAGCAAGCAGGTAGCTACAATACCATTAGCTTGCTAAAGTTAGGTTAGAGTGGCTAGGTTTTTGTATATCTCGGGGGATTTACACATTTTGGAACACGGCTTTAAAATTAACGTGGTCTCAACAGGATCAAATAATGAAATTAGACACATACAAGGTATTCAAATTCGCACAGTTGACAAAATATAACGCTAGCTAGCTGTAATTGGAAGTAAACGAAGCAACTCTCCCAAGTCTTCAACGCTACGTAATTTAATACTTAGTGATAATGTTATGGAAACTCACCAGAGATAAAGTAGACACATTGCTAATCTTACCGGAAGACATTTCTTATGAGAAAAACACAGTTATCCCAATAAAGTGCGAGTTATGGGAATAAGGTTAATCACAGTCTAATGTCTGCGGCAGGTGTGCTCATCATACAGTAATGGCGCTCAGTGCTGCCGCCGGTGTCTAGAAGTTGTACTGCAACAAAATGGTGGAAACAGTATTTGGGCCATTTCTCTACTCCAGAGCATAGAATGTAACATTTTAAGATTAGCAAAACATGAAACATTCTTTTTTGTTTATTTGATATACATATTATTACTTATTACAGGTTCTTACATGTAAAATGGTGTATGAAAGGAAACGTGAAATCATGTCTTACCAAGCAAGTGTAGAAAAAAAGTGGTTATAAAAGCTTACCACTCATTTGATCATATTCTATTCAAATAATAATATCATTGATAAAAAAAAATATTTGAGTTTAGTAGTACATGTACATTGTTTAGTCAGCAGACAATGGCATGTGTTTTGGGTTCATGTGTTTACATGTTCACTACATCTAAAGACATATGTTGGCATTTTGCCCGTATTCAATGCTGACAATATTGAGGCAGACATGAAATGAGTAAAGATGAAGGCTGAAATGCAAAACAGGCCCCAGAGTATTTTTCAACACATGCTTATGTTAATACACTACTACACAATGTATTGTGAGTCTTCACATTTGCCACATGAAAGGCCATGCTTGATGTGCAACTGAAAAACAATATAACCTTCAATCACCTGTCTTACCGTGATAAAGCCTTTTGTGCCAACTCTGACTGAGGAGAAGTGTTTCTCCTTGTGGGAGAAGTGTTTTCTGATGTTGTTCTGCACTGAATAAAAACCACAGAGTTGTGTTATTCTGAGGCAGAATCTTCAAACACAGCAGCTAAGGAGTAAAAGGTGAAACAAACAGGAGCTCATCAACTGCTGATCAACTGCCGGACGGCAAAAGATACTTTGCATCAGTCAAGACAAATGTTTGCAGGAAATTGTGGCTGTGGAAGAAATTATCTCGAATGCAAAAGTGCAGAAAATGTGTTTTTTTATGTTGCGTGTTTGTCAGGTTACGATTAAGAAGGGACCCGGGAGGAATACTGTTGTTTTATTTTTAGAGTGTCACACAGATGTGTTCATAGCCACACACACACTTCAACTTGTGCTTACCATCATCAAAACAAAACAGGAGTCAAAGCGTATTCACACCACAGGAGATGAACCAAAAATACCCTTGGCTTTCCAACAAACAGGAAAGATAATACGTGTGAGTTTGTGTGGGAAAGAATAATGTGTGGGCAGAATGGTAAGATGCTGGCCTACATAGAGATCCATAGGGTGCCATTAGCTTGGTATAGAGGTGAACCTGATGCTGGATGTCACAGCTGATGAACAGACTTCAGGGCAGATCACTCGCCAGCTTACACAGGGATCATCATGTTGAGCTTATTAGGGCTAATTAGAAATGCTCAGAAAGAAAATCCCTGGAAAAAATAAACACAGTAAAAAAGTACACCTTTTTACATGTGCATTTTCCTCTGATGGGGACACATGCTGATGCACCACCTGGCTGTGGGCTCTTCTCCTACTGTTAAATACTCTGGATTACATAGTCCACAAATACTTTATATAGTCGACCCTATTTTACATTAAATCACATTCATTTTGCCCAATTCAATGCTTCTTACTTTGTTTCCAATCAACATATTTCACAAGTAACTTAGGGTAAACTATCTTGTTTACATAAGACTTTCATTTACGCAGGTTTTAGGATTTCATATATCTCTGTAAAAACCTTAGATAGATTATAGAGAATGAAACTGGAACGTTTGGTGTTTGTACGTGTTGCTGTAATTGAGATTTCTGGTTGCGATTATGAAAAACAAAACATTTTTTGTCAGAAAATGATCTTTATGTATTCCATACATATTTTTGGAAGAAACTACACAAGAAAATGCTGAAAATAAAAAAGGGTTATAGTAAATGTGAACCCGCCTCAGTTGATTACTTGCATTAATCAAAAGAACGTATTAGATATTTGTATTGTTAAATACACAACCGGAGAAAATCTGCCACTTCCTTACAGAGCCCCTCCTCCAACACACACGAACGCGCACATGACCAATGAGGGCACGAGATAAGTTTGTGCACAGATAGAAGGCTGACAGGCAGGCAGGCCATCCAGTTATTTTAGTCGGCCCGGTTAAAATAACTGGATGGCCTACCTGCTGGCCTACCTGCTGGCCTACCTGCTGGCCTACCTGCTGGCCTACCTGCCTAAACATTTAATTTAAAATGAGGCAATATTTGATGCTTACTTTTGGTGAATTTAGAAGACGTTTACTGATGTAAATAGACACATTTAGCAGAAAGTAACATCTAAATGTGTTATTTTGATGTATTTTTTAATTGAGACTGAAAGAAAACACGTTGCAAAACAGCCAAAACTCCATATTTGACCAACAAAAGTGGTGAGCAGAACTTTATTTTATAGAACATTATCTGAACATAAGAGACAAAGTGTTTATGAACGTAATAACCCTCCACCATCCACTGCTCACATTTCCATTATGCTGTGATTAAATAACAAAACGCAGGCGTGAGCTTTCACACATTTCACACATATACAGGCTTATATTTTCCATTATTTGTTTATTTTTAGACAAATGCTAATATTCCAAATACACAAAGCATTCAATTGTGTGTAAATACCTGATAAATGTGCTGCGAAATAACACACTGTTTGGGTAAGATCTTTATGATCAAGCACACTGTATCCAGCTTCAACATCAAAGCAGATTCACCCAATCTGAAAAACTTGATCAGAACAGGAGGCTTACATATTTAATGTAAATTAAATTGACATTGTAACATATTGTTTCTTATTCCAGAGCTGAAAAATAACAGCCATTATTCCCAAACAGCAACTGCAATGTTGATTATTTGAAACAGCCGTTTCAATGAGAAATGCAATAAAACAGGCTGTGCTTTGCAGCACTCAGCACTTGCTGCTGCTCCACTGAGCATCCGATGTATTTACCTCTTGCAGGAGAAACATTCATGAATGAATAAATGCAATGCCAATGACATTTCCAATATTGCACAGCCATTCATTGCAATATTGTCCTTTATGGGCCTGAGAAAGTGGGCTATTTCATGAAAATGTAATGGTAAGGAATGATTTCAATCACATGCAGATAACCCTTAGTGTGTTTCTGCTGCTCCCAATA